TGTGGGGGGGGGGGGGGGGGGTTTCGAGACAAACTCTATTTTACAAAGATTAAAATGTATGAATAATGTAAGCTGAACCAAATGGTAGATATTTATACAGGTTACTAAATTTTTCTTTCATTAAAAAAATATTGTTAAAGACTTGAAAAAAAAAATATAAGACCAAGAGGGGCCTCGAAGTGGAAAGATCAAAAGGGTTTGGGGGAAGGATTAGTGCCTAATTAATGACAAGATTAACACTTGTATGAAAACTTAATTCCGATCACGAAGAAAGAGGTATGGGTGCTTGGGCTTGAAGACTTTGACGTTTTGACCCCATAACATTTTCATATTTTATTTATTTGATAAGCCTAATATCTATTTAAAAACAATATAAATTAGAACAGATAAAAATAAAAACAAGTGCACACGCTTGGCTTGGAAAGTAAAAATTAAAGAAACAAAGAGTCAAAACTAAAAGAGACAAAAAGGGTTTTAACCGAGGGGCCTTGGCTTTTCGGAATTCCATTGATTTTGATGTAATTCCCATCCCTAGGGTTTTTGGCTTATAGCGAGATTCGGTAGTAATTATTCAACTAAAAGTCGGTGAAACGAACCAGTAAATAAAAAAAATAGTCTTAATTATTTTTTTTGATAACCAAATAGTCTTAATTATTATTTTAGTAATAAATGCTTATTATAAAGAAGTTTAAATCTGAATGGATTATCTAAAGAGTTTTTGAAAATGTTCACTACAGGTAAAAATGATTCGGTTGGTTGACGAATATATTTACCTACCAATGTAAATCCATTAATTATCGTGTGGTATTTGCATCACTTTGTAGGGTTCTTTCTTTCGCACTTGTATAGTTTTATGTACCACATGTCGGGAAACTAAAATATTACTATTTGACCGTAGTAAATATAATGGGTGGAATTGATGGTACTTGTACTACATAAATGATTAAACAAAAGGGGAGTGGTTAAAATTTTCAAACTTCTTAATCATCTAATATATATAAAAATTAATATCTAGAACCTTAATGATATATATATGTTATTTGAAACAAAAGTTCTATATTTACTATAAATAAAAAATGTATAATAAAAAAGAATAAATTGTAACTAGTTCAATTTTACTGTGATTTAATATTCCTAATCTAGACAAATTTGAATTAAAATGAATCATTAGATAAAATCATTGTGGGGTGGTACCTTAATGTTTTGGTTTTGAAATACATTTTCTTTTTAAAGAAGATTGATTAGCATGTTATAGAAAGAGACATATTCATAAATCTTACAAAAATACATTTAAATGCATGTAATAGCATAATAGCTAGATTTTAGTTTTTATTTATATTAAAACATATCATTAGTGTTGAAATTGTAATTTCTGACAACAAATAAATAATTTTAAAATATAATACACTAACAGTTTTGTAAATGCTTCTGTATATTATTTTGAAAATTTTATGAGATACAGTACTATTCTAAAATTTACCAAAAATATCAACTCGGAATTCATAAAAATAATGATCGAGGAAATCTATACGTTGGTGTTGGGTATTCCCATAACCCATAAAAATTTGACTTTTGCTTTATAAATGCACTACACGCACCTCTTAAGTAGTAATTCTCTTTTAGATTATCTATGGCTTAATTAATTAATTAAATTATTCAACTATATAATATACAAGCTGCTGCTTGCACCCACCATGCAGCACTCTTTCAAATTCAATTAATTTACTTCGAACTTTGAATTTTTTGTTTTTTCTCTTCATTTTTAATTTCAATAAATGAGCTGACCGTATTCGATGCGCCCCGTTCGTCCCTTTGAACCACTCGGATTTGAACTCAGCTTAAATAATTAATTAATAAAATTATTCGAATTGTTTTATGGATAACTCTTGCAACAAAGAGCAAAAGAAAAGTCAAAACTGAGTTGGGTCGGTCGAAAATCCGATCGACCCATATGTCTGAAAATTACTAAAATGGTCAACTAACAACGCCGCAACTGAGATAGGCCACATGAGTCATGAGGGGTAAAGTGGTCAATTCAAAAGCCTTTCACACGTTCACTTGTCTTCAAACTGAAAACTTGGTTCTGTCAGTTTCTGACACAGGTCAGTGGAATAGAAGCTGCGAGAGGAATGGAATAGAAACGGGATCTTCGGATTCTGAGTAAAAACCCTAACATTTGTATATTAATCTATTCTAAATCCTTAATTAGATACAGAAGGAAATTTGATTAAGACTATTTTTTTGATACTTTGGCTATTATAAAATCGAATCTTTCTGTATTGGCAGTTGGCCTCGGTCCTTGTTCTTTCTAAAGACTTCGAACCTAAGGAACATTAATATAATTTCTCTGTTTCATTTCCTTTGTCTTGATACTCGTATATACACGTACATATTAACATTAAGACAGACATATTTAAAGCATCAGAAAATACGTTAGGTATACGCGATCGAGTGTTTGTATCTGTTTACGTATACACACGAATTCCTACATGCACGTGACATGTATAATCCGTATAGGATAATCGTATTTCCGCCCTTTTGGTGTTTTGTGCTGATATGTTCATAGTGCAAATCATTTTAGATCTTATCATCACCTAATCGACGTATATACACGTACAAGTACGTAGTTATGTATAATGTATGGCACAATAGATAATTTTTCATATTATTGACGGGAAGTTTGAAAAGGAAAAAGAGTGAATGAATATATCCCAATAAGATACATAAAATTCATGCTACTCGAGAGATTCCTTGGAATAATAGACCTACCATGCATGATTCGAGAATACATACATGGTTAAAATAAATGAAATTAATCGCCATTAATGTGTGAAAAACCCATGATGCATTATTTTTTACTTTCGTTTTTCTTGGTACTTGCCCTCATGTTATAAGAACTTAATATCTCCCTCGGCTCCTCATTTTCATATTAATTATATAATGTAACCCAAACGAACTTTCTTCGCCATTAAAAAAACTCGTAAAATCACCAAAAACGACGGCTGATCCTTCGGGTTCAGACCCCTCACCAGGAAACATATATTGAGTTCAAATTAAGCTAAAAGGACTTCACTTCCTTCTCCCAAACTTAGGGTTCCTCCATTACTTTTCCCAGCTAGGGTTTTCTCTTTTCATCTTGAAATAACTTTCTATCCATTTTTACCATTCTACGTTCAAAGATTTTAGTTCACTAACTAAAAAGACTAGGGTTTTCACAACAAATATGGGAGACAAGAACGAAGGAGATCATGAGTTTATGCTGCCGGGATTTAGGTTTCATCCGACCGACGAAGAGCTCGTGAGCTTCTACTTGAAGCGGAAAGTTCAGCAACGTCCTCTCTCAGTAGAGCTCATCAGACAATTAGATATCTACAAATACGACCCATGGGATCTTCCAAGTACGATTTCCACCAACTTCTCGTCTCTAATCTTGAATATCGTATGCCAGCGTTTTGTTTATACCAACAAGAGCCTTTTCACGAGCCATCTTATATGCAACTTTAGTTTTCAAAAGTATAATATAAGTTTTTTAGCTTATAAGGACCGACCATGCATGCAATCTTTTAGCCCAAGTTTGCGCCAAAAACATTTCTTATCTAAGGGAATCTGCTAGTGACGACCGAGCTGAGCTCATTGTAACCGTATATTAGGGTTTAAAGTTAGATTTTGAAATCCGTCTGACGATTTTTTTTCTTCTGTGTATAGAGTTTGCGACGACGGGCGAGAAGGAGTGGTATTTCTACTGCCAGAGGGACAGGAAGTACAGAAACAGTACGAGGCCGAACAGAGTGACCGATGCCGGATTCTGGAAAGCCACCGGAACTGACCGTCCGATTTACTCTTCCGACGGAAACAAATGCATCGGTCTGAAGAAATCTCTAGTGTTTTACAGAGGAAGAGCAGCAAAAGGCGTTAAGACCGATTGGATGATGCATGAGTTCCGCTTGCCTTCTCTCTCCGACCCTTCCGCCGCATCTCCCAAGAGGTTCTTCCACAACGCTGTAAGCAATCTTTTAATTATTTTCTTTCTTATGAATTTATATGAACGTCCTTGTTTAGACTAATAATAATGTTTAATATATAAAAAAATATTGCAGGATTCATGGGCTATATGCAGAATATTCAAGAAGACAAATCCGACGGCTCTAAGAGCTCTCTCTCAGTCGTTCGTTTCCTCATTACCACCAGAAACAGCCCGCGACACACGAAACAGAAACCCATCAAACTCAACTCAATCTTATCCAGACAAGATCCTCAAAGCAACTTCTTATAACCAGTTTCGCCATGAAAATACCGATACCGCCCATCAGAAACCATATTCTGATGATACGAACGCCACCAACAATAGTGCTAATCCCTTTTCTTACTTGGATTTCACTTCATACAACCAGCCCTCGAATGTTACCAACTCTCTTCCGTTTCCTGACCAGCAAGATCTAAAAAGCCTGTTACTTGCTCCACAAGAAACGCAGTTGCAGTTTCCAAAGTTCACCTGGAACGACATCTCGTCGTTCCTGTTGAACACTTCATCAGATTCTTCGGTTTTTGAAGGATTCTCAAATCAAATAGATCCAAGCATCAACTTTGGCGAAGTCATGGCACATGACCAGTGCCCCCCTCTGGTAAGCTTACCACAAGAATACCAAAAGAATGGGTTTGAAGAAAATGTCCACATGAAGAACACAAGAGGTGTCGATGGAGATGGTTGTCAGTATCAGACGCTTGGGCATATGGGATTTACCTTAGGGGACTTCACTGAGAGTGTTACAGACGAAGATCATCAAGGACTGAAGCAGAGGATGCTTCTGGACTGTTCTTATCCTCTGCTGTCTTCTTCGATTAGTGGGGAGTTGCCTTCTTGTTTCTCCATAACCAAATGCTTTACCTGAAGGATCGGTTGTTCAGAGATCTCTTTTTCAAAGGGCTCTGTGGCCTGTTTTTTTTTTAGATTATGTCTTTTTAAGTTCAGCAACCCAGTGGTTTTTGTTTTCTTGTAGGGTGTTTAGATAATGTCTTTAATTTAGCAGTGTTCCTTTGTTTTTTTTGGTCTTGTAGGCTGTTCCTTTTTTCAAGGCCATGAAACACAATTCCAACAAAAATTAGTTTATGAGGGGTACCATCATCTTACAAAGGGGTGCAAAACCGACCGCGGTTCATTCCGTTTTTGCCGAGTCGTCTGACGATTTCGAGTCGTGGCGAGCTAACTCACCGGATACTTTTTATGACTCGTTTCTGCATCCTATTTGTAATTGTACATGCGAACAACTTCCGCAAGCCTTTTGTATTTATGTCTGGTCCTTTCAGTTCAGTCTTGGTTCGAGAGAGTCCAAGTTTGGATCAATCTTGCGACTCTATGACCATAAACCGGTTGCCGTTTTTCACCAAACCGAACACCAAATTCTAAAACGAATCGGCCCAAATCCAACAGCCCCACACCAATACACCATAACTACAATAGACGCAGACTGAATGAAAGGAACCCGTATCTTTTCTTTTCTCCAACACATTCATAATGTATACATAAACCCAATTAATCAACAACATGAATTCAACGTTAAATGGAAACTCTGGCAATTCAAACGAAAACAAAACTGTAGAGTCAAGACACAAGAAGCAATATAAACCACAAGGATGGCTCTCACAACAGAGACATTCCTATCATTAGAACATCAACCATTAAGACAAACTATCTTGGGGTAGTAATAGAATGGCTTAACTCTTGCCAGCTAGCTTCTCCTTGGCCTTTTGAAGCTTCAACACCTTCTTCACAATCTTTTGCTCTTCAACAAGGAAAGCCCGGATGATCCTGTGGAACCATAAGAAACCCGATGAATTCAACAAATTCTCGAGCTCTGTGAAAGAACGAGAAAATTCAGAGAACAGCAGCTCAAGTAGAACATACCTTTCCCTGACAGCGGAACCAGACAAGACTCCACCATAAGCACGGTTTACGGTCCTTCTGTTTCTAGACAATCTGGACCTCTTGTATTCAGCAGGCCTTAGGTGTGGAATCTAAAGGAGCGGCATGGTCAAGGGTAAGTTAAAAATCCAGGATAGATACAGAAAGACAATGTATCATATAGATATTGAACAGGAGATAAGAAAAATCAAATAATTTATGCCACATGTGGATAGTAATCCCTCAACTATCAAAAGGGAAAACTTGAAAGACGAGGTGGCAGAAAAAATGTAGCTTATGATTATGTTATGTGCTGATGGAGGTTCTTCTGATCAGCACAAGACCGTCAATAAGCACAAACCCACAACCAAGAATGAATAAGAATCAAAATTTTCCAAAGTACACCCACTTGCACGGATCTGTATAACATCCTTCGGACACATACAAAATGGAATGCAACTAATCTCGGACACGGAATCTAAGGATAATCTCGATCCTACACTTCCTACAGCTCAGACAAATCTTGATCGAAAAACAACAAACAAAAAAGTATCTCTCAGCATTACCCAGATCAATACATGACACACCTATAAGCACATCCATGTCTCTACAACATCCAAATCATACAAAAAAAAACCCAATAACATAAACCAATTAAGAGGACAATCCAAGACTTACACCCTGAATACGCTTGCCGGTAACAGGGCATTTCGGGCCACTGGCTCTCTTCTTCGTGGTTTGATATACCAGCTTCCCTCCTGCAAATGAACCAAATCAACTACCAAAACATATATACACAGAAACACATGCACAAACACATATAGATCGATATATATAAACATAGTGCGAGAGTGATGACGATGAAGAAAACGTGGAGGAAGACACGGACCTGGGGTTTTGACGACGCGGTGCTGGTTCGATTTTGTGGCATAGCTATGCCGGGTCCGGTAAACAAGACGCTGCACCATTTTCGCTGCCCTTCTTCGTCTTCGTCTAGGGTTTCTCCTTCCCCAACAGCCGGAGCAGAAACGACTCAAGCAGCTACCATACCCTAAATATGTGTGAAGGAATCCTCAAAGAACCATGTACCCTAGATCCAACGGCTTATAAGCATTTGTCAATCTTCCATTCTACGGATGAGATTTGTCTGTTTGTTCTCATATGGGCTTCGTGGGCTTAGATAAAAGCCCATCTTCTTTTTCGAAGATACGGTACTGGTGGACAAGGGTTATAAAATTAGTAGGGGTGGGCGATCGGACGGGTTCAGTTATTTCGGGTTCGGGTATTTCGGATTTAAAATATTCGTATTCAATCGGGTATATTTTTTTAATCGGTTCGGTTCAGGTTCGGATCGGATCGGATCGGGTTCGGTTCGGGTTATCCAAACAAAAAAACGATAAAAAAATTCAAACAATTATCTTATAAAAATAACAAAAACAATATTAAAATACATGCATATTTCGTTTTTTTATATACCATAGTTATAAAACAATATCATTATACTAATTTTTCTAATTAGATTTAAAATATATTACATATTAATTGATGATATATGGATGGATAAATGGATATATTCGGTTACGGTTAATTCGGATTCGGTTTATTCGGTTTACGATTATTTCGGGTTCGAGTACTTTCTTCAGGTTTGAAATATTCATATCCAATCGGATATATTATTTTAATCGATTCGGTTCGGTTCATGTATAAATCGGTCGGGTTCGGTTCGGTTATTTCGGGTTCGGATATTTTGCCCACCCCTAAAAATTAGATTGTTCATTTATATATTTTATTAATTTGGAAAATCCACGAAAAAAATTTCAATTTTAACAAAATAAAATTTGTTTTAAAAAAAAACACAAAATTTTTTAAATTGCCCAAAATAATAGTAAAATTATTTTAAATATTATTGATGATGGATAATAACTTCTTAGAGACAATATATTAGACAAGTTTTCATCACCATCATCATCATCTCTATACAGATATATCCTCTCAGGAATCTCCAAAAACATCTTCCTGGATCCAAAAGCCTAATAAAATCTTTCAACCCATAAAAAACATGCATCCACTACTCTGACAGTCACTGCCTAACTAAATAACCAGACACAAAGTGGAAGTTGGTTCGGTTCTAACAAGGGAACAGAGAGAAGGAAGGTTCCATGTGAATCCTCCGACCAATGAAGTTGATATTGTTCAGCTTCCCTTGACACCAAACCAGCTGACCAGTAGTCAGTTTTGACATGTTCGTCACTCTCGAAACCAGCTTCAGCTCCACCAGAGCTCTCACCATCTCCTCCTTCAATGGCACCCTCTTCTTCATCTCCTTCTTCTTCAAGTTCTTGACTATGCAGGTTTGGCTTCTCAGTATTTCCTTTACCTTCTTCTCCTTCTGCAGAAACCCGAGAGGAAGAAAAAGACAGTTTTTTTTTTTATGAAATGTGAACTGGGCATCCAACGAAATCAATCGAGAATCGTCAAGAAAGAAGAACCTTTTGGAGATTTGTTCTGATATCTGTCAGGAGCTCCAGGTCTAGAGGGTCTTGAGGAGAGACTTGGGTATGGTGAGAAACCTTCGAGATCGAACTGAATTCATGTCTTTCGGCACTGATGAATTCCCAGAAGACGTGCATCGACTCTTGAATGATCTCTCTCAGCGCCTCGATCGTTATAGCGAACGCCCCTTGGTTTCTGCATTTGTCAGTCTTCGAGGAATGATCGTCTGAAACATTTGCACGAGCAGAACGTTCAAGGCATTGTATGTAGCAAAATCATCAGAACCCTTCTGAATGATGTTTACCTCTGACTAGTGGAACCTGAAGAAAATTATGAAAACATCGACGGTTCTTCAAGTAGTTCTCGGTCCTGGAGCCGCTCTGAAACGGCTCGCTCTCCACAAATCGTTGCACCAGAACTTGAAACAGCTGGAATTCTCCTGCAACTACATTATACTGACGAGTCCCTTCTGGATCACGCCGATGAAATTCCAGAACTTTGACGTATTGCCAGTGGAGTATCTCCCAAGAAAGACAGAGATGCCCAACGTATACTGTCTCAAAGTCCCGACCCATATCTTTTACAAGCCTCTCCACAGGATCATGTCCGAGCTGTTGTTTCTTGAAGAATGGCCAGAGGTTCTGCCTTGGAGGCGATTTAGTTGCCCGAACAGAGGAATCCGAATCTTTGCTATGTCTGCCCGGCTTAGTAGAATCTTTTAGCTTAATCAGATCTGCGACCAGACAGGAAAAGACAGCCATTCAACTTTCGTTTCACATTAAACCCGGAATTTACCAGATCCAAGATCACATTATAGAAAGTGATGTTTTTTTTTTTTGTGGGTCTATGCCCACAAAATGGCGTATGTGGGGGTAGTTGAGACACTTATGGAGGAAACGGACTCGTCACATACAAATCTTGGAGAGACCCACAAATGCAATTCAATAATCAATCGTCTTCTTGAAAAAAGAGACATTCTTCTGCAATAAAAATCAAATGGGTTGCTGACAATGAACTGATCCATCTACCAAAACTGGGGCCAGATGGTGAAAAAGGAGCATCCTTTCACCAACAGTCATTGCTGAAAAAGGTGTTGGCTTTTAATTAACCACAGAAAGATTAGATTTTGATGTGTAAGGATGAAACTACTTACTGATGGAATGCATTGTCTGAGAATCCAAGACGTCGAGCTTGCGCATTTTAACCGTATAGCTCTTGTGGACCTTGTGAATCTCTGATATTCTGTCTTTGAGGTCGAACTCTGCATCGACCTTTAGTGGTTTTATTGGATCTTCCAATGGAGTCTCTGATTCTTCAAGAATGGTGGCCAACCCTCCTGTTCTCGCGCTCCTTAGCTCCTTTTGCAATCTTTCCATCACATCATCATCATCATCATCGAAATCATCATCGGAATCATCATCGAGATTATGCACTTCATGTTCCTCGAAACTCGTGCTGATTTCTTCTCTATGGATGAACTCTTCTTCATCAACGATGTCCGAAATCTCCACTTCTGGTCTCAGCTCTATGAAATCATCATCGTCGGACAAGCTTTGTTTTGCTGTCTTCCAAACTTCTTCACCACCAGCACTGTTCTCGTGAATAGGTTCTTCTTCTTTTACATCACAACAGCCCATAAACTCATAAACCACCATCTCTTCCTTCACGTGTTCCGTATCGAAATCCTCGGGATCCTTTTCCGTGAGAAACAAACTTTCAGTTGAATCATCAGATTTCCCCAACATTTTCTCCACGATGCAACTCTCGATCGAACCCTCTGTTTTTTCTGGAGCAGCAGGAGGCTCTTCAGCTTCGTCTGTACCAAGGTAGAGATCATGAACAACAAAGGTTAAAGCTTTAGGTTCTTCTGCAAAACCCCTGATACTGTTGTCGGAGAAAAACTCGTATCGCCTGCTGATTGAAGCTAGAGAACTTTGCGGGGAATCTAAACTCTCATTCTCTTTCTCTATATGATCTCCATTGTCGTGACAACATCCCTCCTTTATGTTAAATCTTGACCCATCAAGGCCTTGTTCTCTGTAACCAGAGGAAAAGCTTGAATTTTCTTCCCCGGACACAACCAAGCTGATATCGTTGTCAGAACGAACACTAGCAAGATTCGGTAACGAACCCATTAACCTAAAACAGGGGGAAAAGACAGCATAAAGAGTGAAATTGCAAAAAAAAAAAAAACAAGAAGAACGCCGGAAAGAAAGAAAAAAGGAAGAGATTACGGACCCGACAAGGAAGAACAAGAACTTGGAGACGGAAACCCAGAAATGATCGAGAACCGAGAAAGTGTTTCCGTACAAAAACCGCTTCAAGCGACCACCTTTATCGGAGAAATCGAAGTAAGACCCCGTCGTTGTCGCGAGGAATTTTCTATCAGCAACACCCATCTCGATCCGTTCAACGCGTTTAGTGGGTTAAAGTCCCTGTCATTTCTTTTCTCCTTCTTCTTCAAGGCGCATGATTTTCTCGGGAAAAATACATCACTTTTCCACTAACCTAACTATTGCAGACGAGGAATTAGGACAGCGGAAGTGGAGAGCCCACTGAAGAAAATGAAGAACGAAAGTAATGGTTGAGGGTTTTTGGCATCTGGTGCCGAGATTTGTGGACGAGAAAATATCTCATCAAGACACGGCACCTATACATACATACACTGTTCCGTTTATGTATTCCTCTCCATCCGCATGAATTCCCAGTTCTTCCGTTTTCTTCTTCTTTTTTGGAAAAGGAAGCATTTCCTTTTTTTTTTTGTCGTCTAATACATACAATTCAATTTTAAAATTGACTTCAGTGTAAGAATTTGCCCCATATGATACACGTTGACCAATAGATTTCGAATGACGGTCCATGATTGTGCTGACGTTTTCACCCTCTTTAATGTCCGACCGTACGTCTTTAGTTATGGTTTTTTTTTTTCCGATATCAAAAACAAAATTTACATTTTCTTATTTTATATTTGTTATGTGATGATCTCCGAAATGTGTATGCCACCTAGTCAGTTGAGATAAATAAGATGTATAAATTTAGCTATTTTCAAATTTTTGGATATGCATTTACCTTTGATGACTTGCCAAAAGGGTTAAATTAATAATTTACAATGATAATGGACCATTGTTTTATATAATGATAATAATAACAAATTAATCCGACATAAATGGATATCATAATAAAAATTTAATATATATATATATATAATACACACACATCAGAATTTCTTGTGGTGGAGTAGAAGGAATACTGCAGACGAACAAAACAGAAAGCTTAGAGCTGATGCAGAACAAAACAGATAAACTTTTCCAAAGACAGTACTTGAAAACAGCTGCGCATATATATCTTTTCTGCATTTCTTGGTGGAGGAAAAAGACTTCAAGATTTGTTGTGGATAGGATCTGATCCTCTTCTTACACGTCTCTTCCTCGAACATCGGTACCGATCATATGCCTTCTTATTTGGTTTTTGCGCCATTTTACTCCGGTCGACCTCCTCAATCACACGCCGGCTCTGCATGAGCATCCCTCCATCTTCATGGCTGAGCCTGAGATGAGAACCAGTGGTCGTCAGGTCAGAAACTTCATCTGTCTGATGAGTTTCTGTTCTCTCTCCCTGTACTTGTCCATGGAAAAACTCTCTACCTCTAAACCCTAAAACCGCGTACTTGCTGTCTGCTTGTAATAGAAGAAGAAGCAAAAGCATCATACGATGAGTACTGAAAGCCGGCATTTCTGCTCCAAGACAAACAAAGACGAATCCAAAGTATGTTGCTTTTTGTTCAGAGAGAGGAGAGAATGAGGAGTTAGGAGAGATTGTCTGCTCCAAATTCCAATCCTGTAGACATATATATATATAAGCATGTTTCTTATATATGTATCAGTTATATTGGGATTTGGATGGAGCTATAAAGTGTAAAGCAACATAGGAGAAACTTCAGATTCAATCTAATTACGGATTATATATCGAAGGATGTTACATATATACAGAAGAATCTGGCAATGATTGTACAAAAGCAAAGGCCAAGAACCAAGAATCTTGAGTTCTTGAAGGCGACATGAAATCACATTCTCTCCAACAGTTTGCTCTGTAATGATTTGCATGGTACTTTTGCTTTTGTCGCTACATGGCCTAATTGTGTAATGACTTAATTACATACGAGTAAGTAAGGCAAATATTATGTCACATTTCCTTTGTTATTAAGGAAAGTAGTTTATTTTTGAAACTGGTGAAACCGTTGGAACTATTCTATTGCTACAGCTGCAAGCTACTCGTGTAACTTTGGGAACAAAATAATGTACCAATTTCATTTTTTCCCTTTTGGAATCATTCTTTATATTATTCTAAGATCCTCTCTCCCCCCTCTCTCTCTCTCTCTCTCTCTCTCGTTGAGTTGTTTATTTGAATTTGTAGCCAAGATTGGATATTTTGCTTGGTTGGTTGCTCAAAAAGACCAAAGAGGAAGGCCGGTCTTGGTCCAAAAACAGACAGAACACCCATTTGCTGATTCTTTTTGCCTTCTCAAGGTAGGTTCTAAAGCTGCAGCTTTTCCTTTACTTGGAAACCCAGGCACTCGTTATTTCGAGATCTGTAGAGAGGAGAATGTCTTGTTCCATTTTTTTTCCTTTTTGAATTTAAAGTTGTAATATTCTTATTCGGGGAAGCAGCCACCATGGAAAAAGGGTCCAAAAGAGGCGAAAGCAAACCAAACGAAGGCTGGATTTGATGATGATGATGATGATGATGATATTCCCATAGATAAAGCTCTAAAGCCTCTAATTCAAAATCCTGGCAGTGGGTTTAGTCACTAACTTATACGTATGTTTTGTTTTGCATGGAAAAAATCTCTACGTACGAGGAAACATGATTCTCTATCTTGGGTTAGTAGTGCTTGGGTGCATCTCGGAGTAAAACATTCCTTGTCATTTGATTAATTACATTTAGAAAAGGATTAAAGATAATGTGGCTGCCGTACATAGTGGGCCAAACGGTTCTGTGGGCTAAAAACTCAATTATATTCTTCTGATGGGCCTTGATGTTAGGTGGGCCCAACGTCAGCCGTTCACATTAGTCATGTGCAAGTGTAGTATTTTATTTTCTGTAACCAATGAACTCGCCAGCATCCTAGAAATCGTGTGGAAGAAACTAATTGTTATTTGACAATTATTTTGACAAAGAGACTAATTGTTATTAAATTTAACCGGGGTATATACACCAGGGTATATATATATATATATATATATATATATATATATATATATGACACACCATACCGATAATCATGCCTTGCACGTCGCTTCTCATCTACTCTCAAGTATTAGCATATAGGGATAATTTACTACGAAAATACGATCATGTGGCCTTAGCTTTGGTGGACAGATTGAAAATGTGAGATCACGTTGATCTTTATATTTGTATGATAATATTTACCTATATAATATATATATATATATATATATATCCAAAAAATAAAACAAACAGCATTCTTTCTAGGTTCAAACGGTAGTTAGATGGGATGATTCAACAAGGTTAATGTCTTTTGTAATATATAAATTATTAAAAATAGTTGAGTTATGACTTCAACGTGACTTGGGGATAAAAAACGCTTAGAAGCTGGACGTAACATGCTTGTACGAAATCCCAACCTAACATTAGAAGCATATACTTCGCATATATATGCTTGTTCCCCACACGTCACGTTATATATATACATATATATATATATATATATAAGCAATTCAACCTCTGTCATCAACGCTTCATTCGTTCTCTCTAACTACATTTCACCGATTTCGTTTACTTTTTTTCCCCTGATCTATTGAAGTTTCCGCAGAAAATGAAACCAAACTTTTCGTTATTCATCTGTTTCGTTTGTTTTCTAACATTACAACAACTCCATCTTCCATGTTTCGCCCAAGATTTCGATTTCTTCTACTTCGTTCAACAGGTATACGCGTTGACCTTTACGTATACATGCATATCGACCGTATATTTGTGTACATATGTATATATAACCGGTGTATATATATATGTGTGCGTTGCGATGCAGTGGCCAGGAGCATACTGCGACTCGAGACAGAGTTGTTGCTACCCGAAGACGGGGAAACCTGCAGCAGATTTTGGCATTCACGGGCTTTGGCCAAACTACAAGTCCGGAGGATGGCCTCAGAACTGTAATCCCGACAGCGAGTTTGATGAATCTCAGGTTTGAGTTCGTTGAACTTAATATTTGGAATATATATACATACATAGTAGGAATGAACAATATATATATATATATATATTTGATAACTGTATATATGGCTAACAAATAAAATGACGAAAGTGGAGGGTTTCGTGGGTGGGAATGTATAGATATCAGATCTGCTGAGTAATATGCAAACGGAATGGCCGACGTTGTCGTGTCCGAGCAACGACGGAGTGAAGTTTTGGACGCACGAGTGGACGAAACACGGCACGTGCGCCGAGTCGGAACTCGACCAGCACGATTACTTTCATGCCGCTCTCAAACTCAAGCAGAAAGCTAATCTCCTTCATGCCCTCTCCAACGCAGGTCCATATATATAAATATATTACCCTTTTTTTCCATCGAAATTATACGTTTTTATTTGATCCATAAACGTATATTTACATTTATTCTATATATGTGCGTACGTGTAGGGATCAAACCGAACGACGAGTTTTATGGGTTGAGAGAGATAAAGAAGGCGATCGAGGAAGCGATAGGGTTCACTCCCGGGATCGAATGTAACAAAGATTCGTCCCACAACAGCCAACTCTATCAGATTTATCTGTGTGTTGATACTTCCGGCGCCGAATTCATCGAATGCCCTGTTTTGCCCCATGGCCGATGTGATTCCCGAATTCAATTTCCCAAATTTTAAATTTTTTTCATGAATCGTTTTTCCTTCTTTCGTTTCGTAAAGCAATAAACTTGATCTTCTATTAATCTATTCCGCTTCCTTTGTAATTTTGCTTTTTAATATTATGACTATATAATATATACCAACCCATTCTGATTTGCCCTCAAAAGGGTCTCTGAAGCGTGATGGAACAGGGAAACTGAGAAGGAAATTACTTTTTTTGAACCAATCCCGCGCATGAAAAGACATAATTGTTGGTTATTTCTTGTTGTTTTTCACTTGGTTTATTTCGGTTAAGGTACGGGAAGACTTAGCCTGTAATGTTTCTTTAGGTAGTTTATGATGGGTACGTGCATGCTTCCACTTCCGTGGGATCTAGTTATTATACAAAAATCAGAAAAACGTGACGAATTGTAGAATGTCTTCAGCAAATCTGCTGGTTCGGACTGAAGGTTTTGAAGCCTCTAGGCGAAATAGAGGATCCGAAGGGCAAATGGGTAAATGTGCAAGGTCGAATTAATGAACCCAGGGTAGGGTTTCGTGGGTTAGAGCTCAGACTTGGTTTTGTCGTTTTGTGGCTCTTTCTCTGGTTTTGCAGAGGCGATTTTTCGCCTCACCGTGTCCGGTGCCGCCAACGGCGGTTTCCGGCGACGGCTTCTTGTTCTGTAACCCTAGACACACAACTTCCTCTTCCCGAGACGTAGGTACCGAGGTTCCCCTCGGTACTGAACTCGTATCTCCTGTCTCTTTCGTTTGGTTCTCCGTTCTTGCACACGAGCGTTAGATCGGAGAGAAACGGTGAGGAACCGGCCGGCCTGAACCACAACAAGTGGTATCAGAGCCTGGTTTCGGGGCGGCAGACGACAGATCGGCGGCGACACGCGGTCGAGGTAAGTCGGGGTTCCCTTGGTCTAGATCTGAACGTTCTGATGCTTGGTTCGAGTTGTTTCAGGCAAGAAACAACGTCGAGGAGACCGTCTGAGAGAAGATCGGCGGTCAAAGACGACGGGAACAGTTCAGATCGGCGGCGATAAGTTGGAAGGGGCTCGGATCTAACTCAGATCGAAGACTCGGGCGAGTTACAAGTTGACTCAGGTAAGTTTTCGAGTCTGTGTGTGTAGATCTAGGGTTGGGTGGGGAGAACCGGTGGAAAACCGGGATTTTCCGGCGAAACTCGGTCGCGACTCGTCGAGTGGCGACGGAGTCGGAAAATCGGGCTGAGTCAACGACCGAGTTGACCGAGTTAACTCGGCGGCTCACATTTCCGAAATTAGGGTTTTTCGGTTTAAACCGGTTTTGCCGGTTTAAATCCGATTGAGTAATTAAATCCGGTTCGATTTAAAATTGAACCGGTTTAGGTCGGTCAGGTCAAATCGTTGACCAAAATTAGTCAACAGTTGACCGGTTAGGTCAAACCGGACCAGTTCAGGTCAATTGGACTGGTTCAGGTCCGGTTTGGGGTCAATTGGACCGGTTCAGACCGGTTCGGGTCAGTCCAAGTCCGGTTTAGGTTGATTGAGTCCGGTTTAGGTCATTCCAGGTCCGGTTTAGGTCAATTGAGTCCGGTTTAGGTCAATTGAGTCCGATTTAGGTCAATTCAGACTAGTTTAGGCTGGTTTAGGTCTAATTTAGGGTCTGATTTGTTTGGTTCTAACTAATTCAGACTGGTTTAGGTCAATTAAGTCCGGTAGAGGTCAATGTAGGCCGGTTTAGACTTGATATAAGTCTGATTTAGGTCTGATTTGTCCGGTTAGGGCTAGAATTGTCCGGGTTTAGATCAATTGGGTTCGGTTTAGGTAAATCAGACTAGGTATAGGCTGAAATAGGTCTGATTTAGGTCTGATTTATCGGTATAGGACTAGTATTGATCAGGTTAAGGTCCGAATTTGTGTTTTAGGACCAGATTAGATCGGTTTAGGGTCTGGAGTGTACAATTAGGACTAGAACTAACTGATTTAGGGTTAAGTTAGCTTGAATTAGGTCTGATGGTGTCTGATTTAGGACATAGTGGACTGATTTAGGGTATGATAGGGTCTGTAGTGATCGGTTTACCCTGTTAGGACTGTCTAGTATCCAATTTGGCTTGGTTTAGTGAAATTCACTAGGGTTAGACCTGTTTAGATCTCGGTTTAGCTGATGTGGGTCATAGATTCCGGTTTTTTCTGTTCAGTATAGGTCTAAATAGGTGGATTTGTCTACGTTTAGCTGGGTAAGAGGTCTGGGTAGACTAAAATAGGCTGGTATAGGTCGGTATAGATCTGTAAGGGCTATTTTTGGGTCTCGGTTAGGTCTGGTTTAGCCAAATTTGGATTAGTCTAGCTTAGTCTAGGTCTTATCAGTAGGTAATTAAGTCAAAATAGGCTTGGTTAGGTCTGATTAGAGGTTTAGAATGTCTATAGAGACATTGTCTGGGTCTGATCAGATTAGAATCTGATTGTAGACTTAGGTATTATCTAGTTTAGGACTAGATAGGACTCCTAAGTACCAGTTTTGAGTCATAGAGTCCGGTACATTGACCGGTTAGGTCTGATTAGTTGGGATTTGACTAAAAATGGGTTGGTTTAGGGGTTGGTTATGTCTAGGATCACTAGGTATAGGTCTGTAGGGGTCGGTTTAGATCAAGGCAGGTCTGTAGGAGTTAATTTTAGGCATATATAGGGTCTGATCAGAATTAAATTAGGTCAATTAGACTTAGTTTAGGTCTGATTAGGGTGCTAAAAGTCTAATCAGGGGTTGGTAAGTCAATAGGGTTGGCTTAGGTTTGATGATTAGGACTTTTAGGTGATTGACTAGGACTTAGGGTCATCTAATCAGGGGTTGGTTGACTAGGGTTGGCTTAGGTCTGATTAGGGTAGTGTGATGGTCTAGTCGGGATTTTTTGGTTGTCTAACTAGGGCAGTTAGGATCTATGTAGCACTTGGGTAGGTCTGATTAGGTCTTTGTGAGGGGCCGGGTAGACTCGGGATCGTAGGACTGGTTAGGACTTTGTTGGGGGCCATGTAGACTCGGTGTTGTAGGTCTGATTAGACGTAATTAGGTCTGTGTAGCCTTAAGTACGTCTCAGCGTGAATAAACAATATAAACACGCAAATCCTAGTCTACCCAAAACGAGTGTCCGAGTGTCCCTCGACACCTCCCGTTTCCGAAGACTAATGATGACCTCGAATAGTTATGACTCTCTAGACCGTCTACATAACTCTCTCCGATGAAGTCTAAAACTTCACATGTGCACCCTCGAAAGTTAACCCCGACATCTACCCGTCTCCCGAGTCTAACCCGACTACCCCGAGACTAACCTGAGTCATACTATCGAACCTGCTAGACTACCTAGCCCTGGATCCCCGTAGAGTCTACACCACCTATGAGTTAGTGACTTCTACCCACGGACCCTAACCTGCCAACTAAGATTGTCCCACGGTTTTATCCCGTGAAGACGCTCCTAGTTATCTACGAATGCTCCACCGAGAATGAGACACGTGAGTGCACGTGCTCCACCTCGAGAGGGAGTGTCCTAGCGTTCCAAACCTACACCGACTCTACCCCGGTGAATCCTGACACCTCCCAACTCACACCATCTCCTGAGCATCCTACCCGAGGAAACTCCACCTAAATGTGGAAACCTCACCTCCTGACCTACCACCGAGAACCGAAGCATCTTCGGTTACTCCTCCGAGGTCAACGTCCTTCTACCTCGGACTCTCCCTACCTCGTCATCCGGGACCTACAACACCTTCTTGTAGTGTCCCTACCTACCCGCGGAACTAATCACTCCATCCCGGTCCTTGGCCTTCTCCTACAATCCGATTTCTCGGATTTGCCCGAGACCCCTAGTCCTTCCACCATACCCCTTTCGGGGTATCCCGAGTTAGAAAATCTAACTCCATCATCCTAACCGCTACCCTTTTCTCCTCCACCGACACCTGGGATTCGGATTTGCATCCGAGACCTCGCTACAAGGCACATCCTACTGGAGGATTACAAAACATGAGGTTCCTAGCACTCGACTCCTTATTTGTCTCTTATTTGAGACCCGGAGTACCCGATGCATTAACCTTTGGTCCAATTAACCAAAGGAAATGAATCGTGTGGCCTCCCATAACCTCGGTTTCCCGAGCTGGAGTATCTTGGCTCACCTCACTTGCCTTCTCCTAAGGGATAATTAATCCCTTACCGTGTCTACTAACCGAGGACTAACTGGTAACACTAGAAGTATCCTAGGATGATATAACCTGAGTCTAAAAAAAAGACTCTACCTGGAAGTGACTTAACTGACCCTAGGAGTGACTAAACCATGACCTAAGGGAAGAGACCGCATCCTAGAGGACTTAACCCTAGGTATATTTCTACCTAGCCGTGCTTGACACGCTCTAACCCTAGTCTATAGATCTTAATCCTAGGTATATCTCTACCTAATCGGACCTACTAGACTAAGAGAACACGACTCGACTGGACTTAACCTAGGTACTCAACCTAAACCGATCTAGCGGACCTTAAACCAAGTCTAACCGGGCATCTCCCTAGGTACATTTTACCTAAACGGATCTAACACACTCTAGGCCAGACCTGATTTGACTTAACACAAGGTATATTTCTACCTAACCGACCTCCTAGACTCTCGCACAAACCTGATTGGACTTACCCTATGCATAATTTGCCTAACCGACCTATTAGACTCGAAACACAACCTACCTTAAGACCTGATTACGTCTACCCAGACCTAACTTAATCTTCATCGGAGAGAGTTATGTAGACGGTCTAGAGAGTCATAACTATTCGAGGTCATCATTAGTCTTCGGAAACGGGAGGTGTCGAGGGACACTCGGACACTCGTTTTGGGTAGACTAGGATTTGCGTGTTTATATTGTTTATTCACGCTGAGACGTACTTATGGTACGCTCGGTAAGAACTCTCCTAATAACGGTGTTCCAATACGCCTTGGATCATGCCGGGAGGGAGAGTTGAATGGAAGTAAAGGGAAGTGCTAGGGTTCAGAGTTGGCGTAGTTTTCTTCGTGTTTGTCTCTTGCAGGTTTTGCTGGGATTTGCAGAAGAAGGTGGAGAATTGTAGAATGTCTTCAGCAAATCTACTGGTTCGGACTGAAGGTTTTGAAGCCTCTAGGCGAAATAGAGGATCCGAAGGGCAAATGGGTAAATGTG